CAGTTGTAAGCACTGTGTAACTGCCTCGAGGGTGCTTGACCATTTTAACACAACGTGGTGCGATCATCCCCCTTGCGCGGAGTGAGGGTTCTCGACCCCGCACAACATGATCTACTCGACCACCATTATGGTTACCGCAAAAAAAAAAAACGGAGGTAAAAAAAAAAAAACGGTAACCTGGTTGCCGAGCTCACGAAGTGAATTGGCTTGTTTTACAACGTCGTTGCCAGGCGACGAAAACCCAATCCCGATGGCAAACATCAGTGGGGGGGGGGGGCTGTTTAGTGCCGGTATGTGCCCACATAAGTACCTGCCCTACTCAAAGCACATAATGGTTTGATAATTCAGTCTGTTTCTGCCTGCACGGTACCGGGCACTGGCACTATCCAACCGGCACTAAACAACCCCGCGCACTGCTGCACCGCACCGCCGTTCCGAAATGAAAACAGTCCGCTATTCGAGGGGACGGCGCCGGCAGAGGCACTCCGTCGCGCGAGGACTCCGAAAACACGCCGGTGCAGCACGGCCACACGGCGGAGAACGGCACGGTAGCCGCGGCCCAGCAGGTCTCCCGAACCAAGGTAAAGCGCCTTACAGGATAAAACGTATTTCGGAAACGTTTTTCGCTCGTGCGGAAGACGGGGCCAACGCGCGTTGCGTGCAGCAGGTCCCACACGGCAGCCTTGGACAGGTATTTTATGCGATGGTCACATTACAGCTGCAGTTCTTGACTGCAGGCGAAAACGCACGGCTGCTATGTTCCCAGCTTCGGGATTGGTGACGCGTTCTGTAGTCCCCCTCAAGGAGGAAAAGAGATGTGACGCGCTTGCTTCGTACGAGCGTGCAAAGATCGAAGTCCCTCGCGGTATACTTGAAGCATACGTGAAAAGTAGTCGTGCCTGTCGAATATGAAACGCTTGGTTGGCCGGGATGCCCGTGGGCGCATCTGGTTTGGCACAGCAAACGCAAGGGTGATAGCCGTTGTGAAACGAAGCCTGGGCCGGCGAAACCCCGGCATGTTGCTCCGTCCCGGCTTACAGGGATGCGAGGTCAATTGTCCAAGGACTTGGGCATGCGTTTTCATGTGTACTCCCCCCCCTTGTGACTCCTCCCTGGGGCGATGTTGCTCTCTGTTTTTTGTCCCCCGCGGCTGGTTGGTTGGCTTGCGCCGGAGCAGCAGCGAGCAGCGACACGCCTGTCCGCGGAGAAGAAGCGCTTCAACACGACGCTGTCCAAGCCTAGCGGTGGGTCTAGCCTCACGGGGAAGCGGTGGAACCTGTCGTGCTTCACCATGGGGAAGCCCATCGGGAAGGGGAGGTTCGGTGAGTCCCCCTCGCTGGTGTGCCCAGCCCCGCGGCTCCCATTTTATATGCCAACTGCGGTGGTCGGGACGGAGCACTGAACGTTGGTAGAGGGGCCAGCATGGGCGCTGGAACTCGTACGTTCTTGGGTTCCTTCGTGTGCTTGGTCTGGTGATGGTCGCCGCTATCAGGGCTTATGAGGATATCGAGTCATGACGAAACTCATGTTCGGGGGCCGAAGCAGTTCCCCATCATACTCTAGATTGTTTTGCTTATCGCGAGTGTTCGCAGTGCGGGCTTGGAGCTGAGTGGGTGAGTTTTTTTTCCCTTCTGTTTTCAGGCTGAAAATCTGTTTTGGCATGTTTTCCTGACTCTCGTAGACCCACGTACGCCTCTCCTCCGTTTTGACGGCACATCTTTGTCTTCACTGCCGAGAAGCAATTCCGGACCACGCCCCTCTCAACCTCACCCTCACTCTCTTGTTCTGCCTCTTTTGCCTTATATTTTGTTGCATGCGCAATGGCCCCCTTTCCCTCCCCCCCCC